ATTGTTCCCTCTAGGTTGCATGCAGACACAAATGCATACATGGTCAGATGTGGTTACAGTATTTACAGATATTTGAATAATGTAAGTAAATCCTGGGATGAGCCCATAGATTTTCACACTGAAGTAATATCAATGTCAGGGAACAAACGGTAGAAAATGAATGAATGAATAATATCAATGTAGGAATAATGTATACTGCTAAATGCACTTTGTTAAAAATATTCCAAAGTACTCAATTTGGATAAATGCATGTGTATAGCACTTTTCAAGTTTCAAAGTTTCAAGTTACAAAGTTCTGCAGAATTAAAACATAAATATTATAAATAAAAATGATATATGGGGTTAAACAACAGAACCTGTCAGCAGTCGAAATAGAATGTCACAAAGTCTGAACCACAAAGTTTGCAAAAAGATTTTTTTTGTTTTTTTTGTTCTACAGCTGACACCTTTGTCACCCTCAAAATGACCCACATCTCCAGTGTGTGTTTTGAGAAAACCCTGTATGTTTGTGTGTGTGTGTGTGCGTGCGTATCCAGCTGTGCTTTACCCCTCTATCTCTTCATTGTGGAGCTTACAGCAGACCTCTTTGTCTGTCGGTTTAGAGCAGGGTGGGAGGTGAAAAGCAGTTTGTTCATAATGGATTATTGATTGGTCTGAGAATACACTAGGTTTGCACTGTGCGTGCGTGTGCGTGTGTTTAAGACTTCATACCATCTCCTCTGTCCTGCTCTGAACACTGAATGCCTCCACTTTATAAGCAACTGTACAGAGCATGGGATTTTGTAAAGCGTTCTCTCTGTGAAGCAGTGTGAATGTGTGTGTGAGCAGCTCTCTGTATGGGCTGTTAACCTTTCAGTGCTGCATGTGTGAATCGGTTGAAAGCCTACACTGTGCTCATATAGACTCTCAAAAGATATGTGTGGACAACATTTAAAGCCCCCTCTGTTTTACTTGTGTATGTGTCTTATGTTTCATTTAAACACAACGGCCACTCTTTTTTTTTTCTTAACCTCAAACATCTCTGTGCTGCCGTGTGGGAGGGAAACAGATCCCTTCACGGCTGAAGGATGTCCCACACTCGAACAACCTACAATCATTATCAGTGATAAGGTGACAGTGTGAGTGAGTCAGTGTGTTATGAAAGCCAATCTCCACACCCTTGGGTCTAGGAGATTTCTGTCATGGCTGCCTGGGACATGATTGTTATGATGAAGGTGCTTCCTGGCTGCTTGACAATGTTTTCAAATTACAGATAAGCAAAACAGTGAGACATAGTAGCTTAACCTTTGTACTGGCTTGCTCTTTGTTAAAATGCTATACCCTTTAAATATTTCACTGCAGTAGTTCTATTACTAAATCTGAATACTTTTCTCATATTATTGCACCAGATATGTCCTACAAGCAGATTTTGAGGCCTCTTGAGGGAACAGTTTAAAGAAAAGTGCAGTAGAGTCAGTATAAACCTGTTGACAGGTGTTAATATTTCACTTAGAGAGCAAAGACAGGCATCTGATAAACATTTACACAGAGCAGTCTTATTTGTCATGGTAGCACTGAATTTAATATTAAACTTTAAGTCAACATTTTGGCTAAGGGACAGTGCTAATGCATGAGAATGAATACACTAAAACAGAAAACCTGACATGTGTGGGCAGGTCCTTTGCTTGTCCACATGCACAGTTTGACACTGCTAGTTTGAACCTCGGGGGTCTCTAAACATAAATAGCTGCACTGCTCTGAAAAGGTTGTGATTGGATGGGAAAATAAGAGCGGATTTC